GTTCACCATAATTATTACTAGCATCATCTCCATTGTGGTGCAAACCAACTTTTTTTTGTAACTTATCAATAAGCTTCAAAATTTCATTCCTTATGAAATTAAAATTTTCACGACTCTTTGAGGCAAGTTGACCAAGTCTCTTAAAACATGCACTTAAAACCTCAAAACATGCAATGATTATCATATTATTAAAATTATTGTTTGTCTCATAAGACATATAAAATGAATTTTAGCATCCTTCAACCATTGACTGCATATTAAACTTGGAGGAAACACATGAACATGTTGATATCGCATAACACATATAATATGACTACATGGAATGCCACAACATTCAAACATCATACAATCACATTCATATTTGCATTGATCTTTGTTAAAAACAACATTGTGTAAAGATTGACGATGCTTATAATTGTTGACTTTGAATGTCCCTTTATCACCAATTTCATTTGTATCAATCACATTCAAAGATCCGATAGTTATAACCTCAACCCTTACCAATTTAAACACATCCCTAGTAAATACATTTTAGGCTTCTTTTTCAATTAAGGGCAAAGAGGTGGATAAAATAGGTTCTTTATAAAAAATAATTGAAATTAGACAACAACTCATTATACCTATAATCTCTTAAAGAAGTAGTCCTTATACCTGCAAAAAATTTGTCACGTATAGATAAGTAGTAGCCCACATAAACCATTTTTGGTAAGTTTGTTGAACCCAATTATTGTCTTGTAGTTCATGCCATTTTACTAACTCATTCCATAATCTTTCAAACTTTTCTAGGGTAAAATTTTCGTACATTACTTTTTTGAAATCCTTCTAAAAATTATTATTCTTAACATTCTGACAAACATTTTTTTACAAATGCCATGAATAAAGCTTGTGTGTTTCTTTTGGAAATACTTGCTTAATTGCCTCTCTCGTTGCACCATCTCCATTAGATACTATAGCTTTCAGTTGCTTATTTGACATTGCATTCAAAAAGGATTCCAACGCCAACCTATATGCCTTCATACTTTCATCAGAAACAATAGCATAACCAAAAATCACAGTTTGAGCATGATGATTTTTACCAAATAAAATCACCAATGACTTGTTATACTTATTCTTCTCATATGTACTATGAAAGGCAAACACATCACCAAAACATTGAAAATCACTTCTACTTGGGCCATCATCCCAAAATAGGTGTTTCAACTAACCCTCACTTAATATCATGTACCTTGAAAAAATAATGGATCATTATCTGCCTTTCCTTGAAGATAACTTAAAGCAGCCAATATATCTCCATCTCTAATCTTAGAATGCTTACTATGCTCAATATGATTGAACAAATCTATTTTGTTAAAGTTAAGGCCCATATGACCACATGTTTGGTCCAACATAAAACCCATTATATGGCATATCCTAACACCTTGTGCATGCAACACATCCACCTAAGCTTTGTCTGTAGTAGTCAAACCACGGTACGTACGAATTAATTGCACAAAATTAGAACCATATACATTATGATTATGACCTTCCTCAAATTAAATGACTTTAAATTTAGAGGTTTTAGGATCCAAACATACACGTAACTTTGCTTTGCAATCTGTACGAGATAGTGGTCTATGTGTTTTGTTCCTATCATTTCTCATAAAATGTTTTTTTGTCTCTTAATGCAGATTTGTTGCATAAATATTGTTGCATCATAATATTGTGCTTATCATCATAACCTATCTCATCTTTTCTAACCCTAAATATCATTTATCGTCAGATCAAAATAGCTTTTGTATACATCAACATTTATTTCATCTTCTCAATTAACCTCTTCATCCATTTGACTATCTATATTAATTGCTTTCTCAGGCTCACTAACATTTCAATCAATACCACCATTTTCATTCAAATTAGACATATCTTTAAAGTTATTCATTTGCATAACAATGAAAAAAAAAAATTACATACACAATGTATAAATGTACTTGTTATTTAATCATAACAAATTAAACCTTTTACTAAATTAAACATACATTTGCATTTTTCTAACAAAGTTCAAAAGAAAGAAAACTAACACAATCAAATTATAGCTAACATTATTTACCGAACTAAACATACATTTCCATGTTTCTAACAAACTTCAAAAAAAATTATTTATCAAATAAATTAATGATGAAGTGTATACAAATGAAAAAAATTAACAGAGTTGTTCAAAAACCATTTTTGCAAACTTTCACAACTTAGTAGTGGAAGAATTTTCGACATCCAAAACCCTTAAGCCCTAACAAATAAATCCATAACATAAACATTAATAACATTCACAATCATTAAATTATTTAAACATATACCTTTGGAAGATGATCCTAATACGAATGAAGAAGAAACTCCCTTTCGAAGGTTAACATGATACCAATGAAGCAAAAACCTCCTTTGGAAGATGAAGATGATACAAATGAAGCAAAAATCAAGTTTCAAAGATGAAGTTCATACAATGGATGCAGAAGCCCCTTTTGAAGTTGATAATTGTTGAACACAACTTCTTTGCACCAACAAACAACCTTAAAAACACTTGTCGTATCAACTTGCATTTCACCTTGTGCCAACAAAGCTTGCGTTTAACCTTGTGCCAACAAAGTCGAAGGTTGAAGAAAGTAATAGTTAATGAAAATATTAGCGTTTCAAAACTCAGACTATGTAAAACACGTATGTTGGTATGGACAACATGGTAAGAGAAAGAAAATGAAGAACAAAATCCAAACCTGAGTCAAAATCCTCTGTTGAAGATCATCCAAGTTAGATACTCATTGTGGTTTTTGGTACAGAGCGTAGACGTCAAAGTTGGCATCTCTTTTCGTGCTTTTGGTAAAGAGACTTGGATTTGGAGCAAAGTAACTATATTGTGTAGCGGAGCAAAAATTGGGAGGTGTGCCGAGAGAGAACAAGAAAATGGGAGGTGTGCGGACAGAGAGAAGAAGATAAAGAAAATGGAAGTGTAAGTAATGTGAGGTTTATTGTTCAAAATGTAATAAATTAATGAGGGGTTAATATGAAAAAATTGAAACTTCCTTATAAAATAATAAGTCTGATAAAAATGACACATGATATCATTTGAATGGTTATAGTCAGAGAAGACATTGATACCCTCTAAACAGAACTTGCACTAAAGGAAATGCCATTTTAGTGTTATACTCATACTAATATATCATTTTCCATCTGAAAAGGTATTTCTCACATTTAATACTTATTAATGATTACTAAACAGGGTTTGGATAAAGTATGTGTGGAAGAGTGAGATGGTCAGAAACATTGTCGAATCAAATTTAAAGGACTTTTCATCTATTTTATCATGTCCTTTCACCTTATCAATCACGTAAACAAAACACCATTTTTTCCTTTCACATTCAAACACTTAATCATTCTTGTAACTCTCTTTTGCAACCTATTCTCTCAAGAACCCTAAACCCCCTTTCTGAAACCTATTCTCCTCATTTTAAAAAATGGCACCTATTTTTCAGTTGACATCAATTGTACCATAGCAAAAGCCCAAGTGAGTCAAGTCACAATCGACATGTAGCGTTTGAGCTTAAGTTTCTTAAATTTGACTTGATGATTTCTGATTTTTGCTCACAAGGGGTTTGTGTAAAATCCTCTATAAAGATAGATTTATGCTATTACGGTGTTTTTGTTTTGTTTTTTTTATAATTTTTTTTACATTTTTGTTGGTTTAATTTTTATTCATGGTGGTTAAGCATTATTTTGAGCTTCTTTAATTGATGGTTAAACATTTAAATCATGTTTTACTTTTGTCTTTAATTGACGTTGTCACATCAAATTTAAGAAACTCATTACAATTTTGCTTCAATGGTAAAATTTTAAGCAACTTTTACTAAATATTTTTTTATATAATTTATTGATTTTTTTCATTCTTTTTCTCAATTTGAAGGTGTAATTTTTTTATTAATAACATATTTTACCTTATATAAAATACAAAGCATAAATTATATAAGATATCATTGACAATACGTAAGCCGATTCTAATGAGAGAAAAAATGACGGGTTAATATCATATGTCGTTATGATATTAGCGTTGTTGATGCTCTTATGTCTCGGGTAATTGAGAATATTTGTTTCTATTAGCATATCCATCTTTTTTTTAAAAAAAAAAAAACCTTTTGTTATGACTTATGCTTAATGATCCTTATTAATCAATAGTTCAACCTATCAACTTGGTGAGTTAACCCCCAACTCACATTTTTTTAATGTTTTTAAAAGATAAATTGTAATAGATTTATGTTGAATTAATATTTTTATTTAATAGTTTATCTTCTTTTTTTAGGTAATTATTCTCATTTTATATGAAATAGAAGTATATTGTTTTAATCACGTTTTTTACTAGTACATTTTCATGTATAATTTCTTTTTCTTTTTTAATTGAAATGTATATTACTTTATTCCTTTTCATGAAAAATATAACACCTCTAATCAATTTTACAAATAATAATAAAATATAAATTAAAGTAATAATATATATTGAAATATTTCAACTGAAATTTTTTTTTAAAAAATTAAGTGGGTTGAAGGCGAGTTAACTTTTCAACTTATCATTTTTATCCTTTTAACTCACTAAAGGGGATTGACTCACCAACCAATTATTAAGTGGGGTTAGCTGTATTTTCAACCCTTTTTTTGTGTGGGTTAACCCGTCCCGTCCGATTAGTAAATCAATCCGTTCCGCTCCGCTTTAGGTATATTGATCTACTTTGTCACATTTAATTTTAATTAAGTTGAATATTAGGTAATACAACATTATTTTCAAAGGGGTTAGTGGTTACCTCTAACTTTACATAAAATCTTACATTACTCTAATAAAAACTTTTGTAAAAAAAATAAAATTAGGCAATGTAGCAATATTTGAAAAAATAAAAATGATCAGTTGCAGGCCACTAGAAGTATGACAGTGGCGACTTTTTTGTGTTATTTATATGAAATCATAAGTTGATTTCTTAACACTATAGTCGTTGAATATAAAATAAAAGAACAAAATCTAATTATTGGTTGCTACAAATGTGAACACATATAAGGTAGTTGTAAATTGAAATGAATAATTTACCCTCTATATCAGTTATTCTTTTCTAGCTAATCATGCCTTCCCACTAACTCTAAGACGAAATGCCTAAAGTATTTACAGGGCTATTTACTGTATCAACTAGAAGTTGCACTTGGACACACTCACATGAGTGTCAATGGAGGACGTTCTAAACGGATATAATCATACATAACTCCTTGAAAAGGATTCATGGCTCTTGACTGCTTCAGATAGATGGTGTTGGTTCCTTTCACAATGCGATCACTTGGTACGTTAATGCTGAATAGCCTATACAATCCATGCAAGCCATGCCTTGCTATGGCATTATCTCCTCCCATTTTACCCGTTGCAAAGTCTGGTGGATTAGCACTAGGGTCATTGAACCGAACCTGATATGATCATAGCAGATATAATTAACAAGTGTAATTAAAAATAATTAACCTATGGTCGATTGGTCGTAGAAGATGTGCTTTTAATTATGTAAAATTTCAAACCATGTACCTGCAGGTCAGCATCAGCAGTGCATGCCAAGGCCAGTTGCAATGTGTAGTTTCCTCTTATTATTTGATTTTTATGTTCAAATATAATCTGCCATGTTGTTGGTTGGTATGTCTTATTTCCTGTGCTTCTGCATACAGTGCAATTCAGAGTCAAAACCCAACAAAACTTAACAAAGGTTAATTAGTTATCCTAAAATTTTAGAGGTGACACACTACACTCCTAAGTCCTAACACATTTTCTGTTACAAGTTGAAATTAATGTATGCGACTCGTTAAATAAGAAACGAGATTTACAAGAATGTGATTATTAACAAATATTGAGCAATAACAGAGAGTATTATTGACATTTCTCAAAAATTTAATTACCTTGTAACATGAGCAAAAAACCAATCTTTATTATACTTGCTAACTCCAACAGTGTAAACAAGATCATCATTTGGATATAAATCAGTGTAACGTTCCCACAACCCGTATTGCCTAAACCTGTCCAAAGTAGAGAGATACATAACATTAATAAAAGTGAAAAAAAAAATAAAGGCAAATAGAAAGCAGCACTTGTAAATTAATAAATAATGTAACGAGTTTTGGATTTACTTGTCTCTGCGCTGTTCGTTGTATAATTTGTTCATGAGCGTAGGGTAAGGGTCTGGTACATAGAATTCTGCAGCAGTGCGATCTGGAACCCCAATTTCCCACATGGTTGGTCCATTTCTTGGAGGAACATACACAAGTGAATCCAATTTGATGACTCCTCCTAGAGTTTCAAACAATTAATTGTTCAATTGGGCAAGTCATAACTAATTTTGCCTTGGCCTGAACACACAAGAGAATTGGGGAAGAAATTTTACCTGGTGTGATGGTGATTGTAGCATTATATCTGTAATCACCAATGAAGCCAGGGACCCATGCATACAAATTATAGTCACCAGGCACAATATTATTTATCATGAAGAAACCCTTTGAATCAGCTTGAGTCCAGAATTGATAGCCCTGTGAATGAGATAAAAAAATTAAAAAAAAAAGTCCTTTTTAATTGCATCACTATCCAATAATTAAACAAACTAAATAAAATAAGCTTCACTGGCTCCAATTCCAAATATACCTTGCTTTCTATCTGCCATGATCCTCCATCTCCAGGCAAAGCTAGGCCCACATAAGCATTGTTAGCATATAGAAGTTTACCTTCTCTGAAGTTCCTGGTGAAGCAAGGAAATTAAAGGAATTTTAGCCTTTTTTTTTTTAATTTATGTCGATAGTATGAAATTACAGAAAGAAAACGTGGTTACAAGACATTGACATTTACCAATCTTGGACTAGTAATATTCCAAAAACTACTCCCCTACGATTGGGAAGAAAGAAATCTGGTGAATGAGGAAAATCGTATGGCCAACTTTTGACTTCCTTGGATTGCTGATTGGTTACAGAGCAGAATCAAATTATGTGCCACAACATAGAAGTTTAGTAATCTTGGATAAAAAATAAAAAAAAAAATAAAAAGAAGAAGAAAGAAGCACAATTAGGTGCTTTTAGGGGGGTAATTGTTACCTGCTGAAATCTGACCAGAGGGATAGTGTATCATCCTCGCTTGAAGCAGAGTTAACGTAGACAAATACAGGGCCAAATACCTTTGTATATGTCTCCCCTTCTTGAAATTGCATGGTTACCTCCTTCCCAGCATAGTGAGTGCTCACAAACATCTAAACAACATTAAAATATACATATTAGAAGTGAAATGATATATATATATATATATATATATATATATATATATATGAACTTCTATATTTATGTTATCTATATCAAATTGTCTATGGTTATTAAAAACACGATGGGTATATATTAGAATCATGGTTGTTAATAGGGGTATTTACCGACCAATTTGGGTTGAGTTTGTCTAAATTAGTCACACAATCCGAGTAACATTCTAGGAGTTGAGTTGTCTTAGTATAATTTATTTTAAAAAAATCAAAGCTAAACCGATGCTGAATCTTACTAAAGAAAACACTTCAAGTTGTTGTTAAACTCACAAAAACAAACAATAAAATACAGTCTCTAAGTTAAATTTTTTTTACTGCTACAACTTATGAAAAATAAATTATATTAGAGCTAAGGTGGTAGTTTGAGCTTAGGTTAGATAATTTGTATTTTTTTTTATTTTAAAATATATAATTATGTGTATACAAGTTGGATTAGGTTGGGTTTAATTAGAAAATTAAAATATGTTACTAAACTTTTACATGAATAGGTTGAGTTTGACCAAAAATATTATAAAAAAACCTAAAATAATTGGATGAGTTTTGACTCAGTTCAAGTACAACTCATAGTTACTAATATATTTATTTATTTTTAAGAAGTATATTAATATGTTATAATACTAATTTTCTTAAAATACTCTTAACTTAGTTAGTATATATATCTACCTTAAAAATAATCTTTAAATACAATAAAGAAAACTTGAACCGTCCAAATACAAACAACAGCGTAGGTCTGGATGACAGGAATCGCGGTTGGTGTTATGTTTGGTTGGGAGTGATTAAGATAAACGATGTGGGACATACCGAGAGGGTGATGGGGCCAACATGGGAAGTAAGGTCCTGTTTGATGGGCCCAGCATTGCGAAATTCATTACTCGGTGTTATCATCCAGAAGCCCATGGGTGCATCAGAATGAACACTGATCCATCCATGAACAGAGTTGACCATGTTCTCACAAGAGTACTGGTATTTGTCATCCACCTGAGCACAACATAATAAACACAATCATTTCATTCATTCACGGGCATTTTGGAATTCGAACCAAACACACCATGTCACGTCACCAACCAAAAACAAGACAAACACACATAAAAGAGGTGCCTCTACCTCTCCTCTGAATTCTGGGTTGGTTGGTCTTGTTAATAGAACTGCTTCAGGGTATGCAAGGACTTGCCCTGTTTCTCTATCTCTCATTGTTGGCATTCTTCTTTGCCTTTCATCTGATATAGCCATATAGTTGAACCTGCAATTTCATTTTTCCATTAGAAAATCACATAGTTTCCAAAAATTACTAATTTTCTCTACTTTTAAGATAAATATTTTTTATACTGTCAACATGGTAAAATGTTTAATAATTGTTTTAAAAGTCCTGGAGCAATTGAAAATATAAAAATTTTACACCTGTGTTAATCTATATCATAGTAAATCGCTCGAGGATTATTAAAGTGAAATAGATTAAAAGATTTAAGAACTAGGTGAAACTAAAATTTAACTGACCCAAATAACGTTATAAATTAATTATAAAATTAATAAAGTTACTATGAATAGATTCTAATTAAAGACTTTCTTTTTATAAGTTCTATTTTTTCTTTAAGTACTAGGCTTTACTACAATTCAAAAGTACTAATTCATTTATTTATTTAGGGTATTTATTACCTGTCTTTGTTGAGTTTATAAACAATCCTAATTTGGTCAATCTCCACCGAGGGAAATCCTTCAGGGCGATCAAATATTGCATATGTATAAAACCCTGAATCACCACCTCGCAAAATGTATCTGCATATATGAATTTGTTTCATGTAACGTTAATTAGCTTATATATATATATAGTTCCTTAACTATATGTTCTCAAATGGTACCAGAAACTAAGAATTATAATCCACCTCATGTCAATGTTTATGGGTACACTTGAGCCATTCATGGAAGATGTCCATGTTCTTGAGAATGAAAGCTCCACCATATCCTCTTCAGCTGCTATAACCGAAAAATTTGTCCCGTGGATTCTGCACCATGGTACCAATTATAAATTAGTCTCGTGAATCACTTACAGTGCAGAATCGTGCATTACTTTATTTGTCACTAGTGGGTCATTCATTAAGTTTGCCAATATATCAACCAATAGTTTAATATAATCGAAATTAAAGATAAAAAAAATATACCTCTGAAAATTGCTAGGCTTTCCTGGTGTGTTCCAAACAACGTCAAGGTACCTACAAATATGAACACGTGTATATTCGGTCAATTAAAGTAGTAAATCAAGACTTATGGAAAATTATATTATTTAAATAAACCCAATTTGAATTTTCGTATGAATTAGGTACATACCCTCTATCTTGATCTTCATTTTCCTCGTCAAATATATTTTCAATTCCGTTATATGACATTCCAATGAGGAAACCCTCAGGTGTTGAAAAAGTGAGGGAAAGAATTCCATTGTCAACCACCAACTGGAAAGAAAAAAAAAAAAAAAACAAAGTCCAAGACAATTGTTGGGGTCAAAAACAATGTAACACGTTCGAAACAAAAGAGACAATATAACCCATGATTCTATTTTATTTTATATATTTTTTTTAAGTAATTGACTATTCCAAAGGCTATCTGGTATCACCTCTTGAGGGTTCCTTGTTTTCATCATGACCACAGAATTTTGAGAATTGTTTTTGTTGGTTTCCCTTAAAACTCTTCTGCAGATGAAAGACATGCATGAAAAAAAAACAATTAAGTTAATATAATAGAGTGAAATCATTGTTATGGACTAAGCTTGCGTTTGCAACAGGGCAATATTAAAGGAGAAAGAATACGGTGACAGCGAATTTGAATAACAAACAGAGACAATTGATTTGTGTGGTTGGATACATGTTTCGATTCTGGTCAAAATTCATTTCCTTTTCAGTCATGGGGATTGCATCATTTGCATATAACACTTCAAAATGTCAATTTTGTGAAATAGGGGAGAAACTAACAATGAGAGACACATACAAAAGTGGAAGGAGACACCCCCTATAGCGATTGAAAATTTTCATGGTTGAATTTGGAAAAATAATTTACTCAGGCCCTTTTGGGAATATAAAAAACTATGATAGGACCTTGTTGTACATGTGTAACAAGTGATTTGCATAAGATATGCATCATAAATTTGTTACATTCTTTAATATTTATTGATATGCTTTGAACAGAAGACCAAATATTTCGTTACTAATGTAGTAAATCATTATTATTGATGCAGAGTACGTGACAGAAAGTGCTAATTAAAGACCTTAAATTGAGAAATAAGTCAAACTTATATTATTATGTGTTGGTGCATTTTTAGGAGAGAAGTGAGGCTTCCAAACACATGGTTGAAGGCCAGCAGATATACCTTATATATATATACATATATATATATATATATATATATA